GGTTACTCACCGTTGTAACTGTTGTTCTTCGAGATGTGTTGCTCATATCCATTCCAAACCCGGCCCCCGTCCCCACTGTCGGAGTAGCCGGCAAGAAGGAACTGAGGGGGCGGCGGGTCGGCTGGGGGATATATTCAGCGCCATGAAGGCGCCACTCTAGGGGGCTCCACAGCCGACCCGCCGGTGTTGCTAGGGTAAAAATCTTCCGACGATCGTGCACGCGGCGCGCACACACCTAATGGAATGGATATGAGCAACACATCTCGAAGAACAACAGTTACAACGGTGAGTAACCGTCTTCTCTATGGAAGTACAACAGGTGTTACTGAATAGTAGAAAGAGGTCAACCCATGCCATTTACCTGCAGAAATGGAAGAGATTCTTCCATTGATGTTGTCCTCACTGCCTCCTGCCTGAGTCGAAGACACTTTCAGTCATCCTGGATTTACCTGTTGGATCTGAAGAAATCAGGGTTATCAGTTAGTTTGTTTAAGGTTCATCTGGCCACAATATCAGGCTTTCATCCTCTGGTAGAAGGATTCTCCATTTTTGCTCACCCTGTATCTAGGTTTATTAAGAGCTTGGGGAATCTCTATGCCCAGATTAGGGACTCCACCGCAACCTAAACTTGCTATTTTGAGACTGCCATAGGTTCAAATGGCAATCAGTTATCTGTTCCTTTTATCTATGAAGACAGCCTTTTTAGTAGCCATCACGTCAGCTGGTAGTGTCGGGGAGATTGGTGCCTTGGTGACTCTGTGCAGGAATCCTATTTTCATACCCTGGATGTTAGAAAAGCTTTGGCTTTCTATTTAGATAGGACCAAGCAATTTAGAAAGTCACTTAGGCTCTTCATCTCCTTCACGGATAGATCCAAGGGGTCTAGATCTCTCCTCAGAGACTATCAAGATGTATTCTCACTTGCCATGATGCTGCAGGCATTCATCCCTCCCAAAGGTGATAGCACATGGGACCAGATCACACGTAACATCTACAGCATTATTTAAGAATGTTCAGAATCTGAAATATGTAGGGTGGCTACATGAGCTTCAATACATATATTTTTGAAACACCAACCCTGATCCATGCCACCAGATCTGATACTATCTTCAGTTCTGCACTCACTTCCTAAACTCCTTGCTCCTTCTGGGGATATTGCTCAGAAGTCACCTGAAGCAGAGCACCCATAGGGATACTACTACTTGAAGAAGAGGCGGTTACTCACTTTGTGCAGAAACTGCAATTCTTCAAAATGTGTCCCCCGATGAGTACTCCACTACCACCCTCCTTCCCCTCTGTTTAGACTGTTCTCTATGGGACATTTGGGTGGAGAAGAAACTGAGGGTGATTCACCCACATGCCAGTATATAGTCTCAGTGTTCAGCACGAGGTGGCATAGGGCACATGTGTGCGCCAAACAGACACTGCTAACTGAAAATCTTCAATCAAGGACTTAAGAGGCGCAGGTGCACCTGAAATGGAGGGACACACATCTCAAAGAACCACAGTTACTGCAGAACGTGAGTAATCTCTTCTTAAATGTTTGCAATGCACTTATATAGGACTTTTTACCTTAGTCTTTCTAAGGGTGTTAAGTTATTTTGACATCTGAGATCTTCATTCAGTTGATAACATGATAAATGGGTTATTTTTGTTTTCAGCCAACAGTATTCATGTGCAGCCCAAAGCATGGAAGGCTGGTTGTTTGTAAATAAAAAGAAAAAAAAAGGAGAAAACAAAGCCATATTTGGAAGTGTTAAATGCCTTGACAATGTTTTTTCTCTTTAATAATCAGACGGGGTCTAATGGAGGATGATGCTGAGCCCATCTTTGAAGATGTAATGATGTCCTCACGAGGTCAGCTAGAGGATATGAATGAGGAATTTGAAGACACCATGGTCATTGATCTGGTCAGTAAGGCCTGAGTATTATTAACAAGTTTAAAATGGGTAAGGATAGTTAGAGGGTAAGAAACTACAAAAACAGCTTCCCAAAATCGTCTGCCTGCTTTCCAGTTTTTTGAGCACCTGATTGAGGGAGGAGATTGGAGGGCCATCAACCCCACTGATCCCCTGATCGTAGAAACGCAGGAACTGTTATTCACCCACAGCTCCTTCCAGTGTAATGTGCTATTCTAGGTAGTAACAAGTACCTGGTGCTTGAAGAAGGTAAAATAAACTCACCATAATACATCTTGCCAATTGTGAGAACATTCTTTCCTAATAGGAGATCTGCTTATACCCCAAAGCATGAGATATAATTTCCCTTGTATTGTTGTGATGGGTGGCTAATTATTCATAGTAGTAGCAGTACAAGTGCCTCAGTCGTACAAATGGTCTTTTTTTAAATCCAGTAACTGCATTTGCCTCAGTGACCTCTTGTCACAGTACTGGCTGGCTATTGATTCTGAATTTACTGTCATTTTAATTTTGAATGTGATTGATTCATATTATGCAAAATGGGGAAAAGGAAGGACTGATCAGCTTTCACTGTACTCTCTTTAGCATTTTGCATACCTCAGCCAAGCTCCTCTTATCCTATCCATCCTAAATAATCGTAGGTCAAATTTTCAATCTTGGGTGTTCGAAGTTAGGTGTCTAACTTTGAGCGCTCAACGTGTTGTAAGGTTGAGTCCTAAGAGCTCTGCTTTTCTGCAGGGATGTCACTAACAATTCACATCTGAGATCTTCTGCTGTCTCAGAAGGCTCAGCTGTTGTTAGCACTCATAGCATCCTGCAAGTATTTTTTTTAATCACCTTTTAATGGGTAATCCAATAAGAGAGGAGACAAAGGGTTTGATACAGGTCCCATTCAGGTCAGTTGAAAACTCCCATTGACGTGAATAGCCCAAAGGGAACAAATATTCCCTAACACAGACTACAAACTATATTGAGGGCTTTTTCAAAAGTCTGATTTATTTACTATAGTTGCACTCCAATTTCAAAGCTGGACTGGCATGAGAGAAAGGTAAATCTGAGAAGTGAAGAGTACCAGAGAGTTTCATGAAGCCCAGTCTATGGCCCTGATTCTGGAAAGCGGCCCTATTCAGGAAGAGCACATAAGCAAGTGCTTAAAGTTAAGCACATGCTTAAATTAAATTGGAAACAACTGGAGTTAAGCACATACTTGAAGGTAAGTGTGTGCTTAAGTACCTACCTGCATTGGGGCCTATATTAGGCCTGGTCTAAGCTTAGCAGTTAGGTCAACATAGGTATGGTGCTCCAGGGTATGGAAAATTCACACCCCTAAGCACTGTAGCTATCCCAACCTAACCCCTGGTGAAGACGCAGCGAGCTTGATGGAAGAATTCACTACAGCTGTGCTGCAGTAGCGCCTATAGTGTAGACGTGGCTTTAGTATCTAGAAATCCTTGCCACACCCACCTCACCAGAAGCCACTAACATGCTTCTGTACGTTGTATATATCCTGTACATACGTTTCTTTTATGTGACATGAACATAGTATGTTACTCTAAATGAGGAATTATTCCTACCTCAATATAGAGAGCAATTCAATAAATGACTTCTTCTTCCAGCCACCTTCAAGAAACCGACGAGAACGAGCTGAATTGAGGCCGGACTTCTTTGACTCTGCAGCTATCATTGAAGATGATTCAGTAAGATTTTATTTAGCATTGTTTACCATTTGTTTGAGGGTTTTTTATTTTACCTCCGAAGTTAACTGATGTTTTTTAATCATTTTTCTAGGGATTTGGAATGCCTATGTTCTGAAGTCTGGGGAAGACGTTTTACAAATTTGGAACTCTATTGTTTAGAGCTAGAGGCCTATATACTGTGATAGCTTGTATGAAAACCACATTTTTGATGTGATATGGTTTGATTTTTAACCAAATGAATAAGGTCAATCCCATTTTGTAGTGAAAGAGGAGAAGAGGACCTTCTTAATGATACAAAGGAACGTTGGCCAATCCAATCACCTCAGAAAGGCTGACCTAAAAGAATCATTTGTATCCCTGTTCTTGACTGTCCTTATACAGATGTTTTTTTTCTGGATGGGAAGGGAGTTTTAAATTGTTAAGACAGCTGTCAAAATAAACACTGTTCTACACATGTTTTCTGAAAACATTGAATGAAAACAAAAAACTTTTTAACTTTATTTTTCTGCTGTACAATTTAAAACTGTTTTAACATTTGCCTTTTTATGTTTTAAAAGCTAGCCATTTTTATTAAACCTATGCCTGTCAGCGACTGACTAGCAATGATGCTATAAGCAGGTCATCCTGGCTGCAGAAATGTGTTTTTAAACACACTGGATTTGATTAACAGTATGGTACGTGTATATCCTCTCATAGGCATTGAAAAGAGCAGAACACTCTCTTACAAAAGAGGTTAGAATTCTAATGAAGTGCATCTCTGCCAAAAAAGTCAGATTCTGATATGATAAACCCAGATTTTATACTCTTGAGAAGATTTATTTTTATTTATAATGGGGCATAAAATAAGAGATGTCCATGAAGCCACTTTTCCAACAGATGCTGTGTAACATTCATTTTATATAGCACTAGGGGACACAAAAACAGTACATTTTCTATTGGTACTTGCTCTGTGCATTTTTAGCAACTTATACCAGCAAATAAAGTATTCTCAGTAAAACACACAAATGGTTCTCAAGTAGTCACTTTGCTGTTTTTACTACCTATTTCGTGCCCTGCCAATCCAAGGTACATAAACAGCAACTTTCCTATATAAAATAGATCAAGGGGGGGAAAAAAGGAATCGCTTTAGCATTCTAAAAGCAATTTTAACTGTACCATATAAAAATGTCTACTTTCCATGCCGCAAATACCCTTTTGTGCTATTTTTGTAAATTAATTTTGCCAGTTAGAAGTACTGTATGTGCTGCATAGAAATTTGTGCTTAGATGGTGAAGTTCTTAAGCTTACAATGGAATACAGCTACATTTTCAGTGTTAACTGTGCATATTAAAAGTAATTCTTTGAAAAAATACAATTTTTCAAAAAAGTAAAGAAAACCCAAAAAGTTCTCAGCTAATTCATTGTAATAAGAGATTTTCAGTGTCTTCAATTATTTGGAATCTCATTATGCTTAGATTTTATGACTCTGCCTAGTAGCTGCTACTGTAGTTTAAAACTGGCCTGATATTCAGAGGTGCTGACCACCCACAACTCCCACTGAATAAAGCACCTCTGAAAATCAGCACCAAAACGTTAATCTTCCTTTCTGAGTTTGAATGTTAGCATTTGAGATACAAAGCATATTGACCCACTTCAAGCACAGCAGGTTTAGAGTTGCTTTTATTAGCAACTGCAAATTTATCATGGAGCTTTCTCTTTTACAATGTCATTTGGAAAAAAACATGTACACTTCGTACTTACTTTTGGGGAGGGAAAAACAACTAATGTAAAAACAAATCATTCTTTTCATTTAACAGCTGAGATTTTTCTCAATGTGTACAGTTCTCAGAAAGACTTGGTTGCCAAAAATGTTTAACTTGGTAATTCAGCCATTCCTCAAGTGTAGATGGGTGACTATTGCAACAGCCTCTGAGGTTGCTGGATCATTTCTTTATAACTAGGGTGCAGGTTACCCCCAGGGGGTACAGGGTGGGCAGGAATGGCTGCATTATCATGTCAGCACTGTAGTTCTGTGAGCATAGTAGCATAATAAATGCTGCATGGTTTGAGTCATAGTCACAGACAAACCTTGTGCTTCACAGTCCTCTGTGTGGAAAATTGAACCCTGAGTTATAGATTGTAGACTACTGTATAACACAACAAAGATCACTTGGACGGCCCCTCCAATGGTTTCCAGTTCAGTTTGCAGTCAATAGGTTTTTTGTATTGAGAGTGTCTCCTTGATTGGTTTTGCTAGTAATTCTGTAAATTGTACATTTACAATATGAGGTTTTTTTTTCCTTTTGTACAATTTAAAACTGATGCTTCACCTTTCCTTTAATAAACTATTCAAAGTCATGTGTGTGTGGTGAGCATCATCTTCGCCATACATCATTTTAAAATAGCATCTGGCCAGTCATCGCATAACATTCCCAAAGTTAAGGTTGAAAGGCAGCTTTCTCTTTAAGCCCCAACTCCCTTTCCAGACTCCATGTGGCTATTGCTCATGCTCAGGTCTCAGAGTAAAGGGGATTTGTGTTTATTTGTTGTTTGCAGTAAATCTGATGAGTTGTCATTTGAGTCTGGGAATTTTGAACTATTACAGGCTTTCACATTAGAGAACAGCAATGTCTTTGCCACGATTCAAAGACACATTTCAGGTGAATTACACTCCTTCCACTTGAGCTTTAAGTAACCATGTAGGTAGAGTACAGGAATGATTCAGAAATAAAAAGGTTTAACATTCCAATAGGCTGGAGTTTGTGCTAAAGATTTACAAATTCACCAAGGTGACTGATGTCTCTTCCACTGCTACTGAGTCTGAAAATCTGGCATGACTTTCACCAATGCCAGCTCTGAATGCACTCTCTTCTACTGTGTCAGGGAGAACTGAGGTATCTGCTGCTACTGGTTCTCAAAGTTGAACTGGTGAAGATAGTGTGGTCCAAGGGGTAGTGCACTGAGCTAAGATTCAGGGCACCTGCATTTTGTTCTAGGTCTGCCATTAGCAGATTGGGTGATCTTGTTCATGTTGCATCACCTCTCTGGCCTGGATCTACAAAGGGACTTGGACATTGCAATACTACGCAGCATGATGCCTAGCAAATCGCAGGAACACCACTGCAGTCCACATAGCCTGAGGTAAGCTCCTAGGCTCCCTATACAATAAATAGGGAGAGATCGGAGCCTTAGAATGTGATCCACAAAAGCCAGCACACGAGGCAGGGAGCTGCCTGAGCTGGCCAGTGGGAGATGATGGTAAGGGTACGTGCTAAGCCTCGCCTTTCTCATGGAGAGAGGCACTTATCTCAGCTAGTGAGTCACAAATGGAAACAAGCCACTTGGAGTCAGGCAGCTTAGGCACATAAGCATTTCTTGTGGGAATGAGTTAAGCACCTGCCTCATTCCACGCACACAGGAGGGGAGGGTGGGGAGGAGGCGGTACCCACCTTATAACTTTTAACCAAGTGATTTAGAGCACTGGCCTGGAATGTGCAAGACTCAGGGTCAATTCCCCCTCTCTGCCAAAGGAGAGGTGAAAGAATTTGAACAGATGTCTCCTGTCTCTCAGGAGGGTGCTCTAACCACTGAGTTCTGGGCTGTTCTGATGTGGAGGACGTTCCCCACAAGTCTCTTCCATTGATGTTGTTCCAGTTTGGATAAATAATGAAATAGTGGGAGCAAGGTGACTGAGCCCAGTGTCTTCCACCTCCCAGGTGGGTGCTCTAACCACTGGACTACAGGGTCATTCTCTCTTCCTTGCTTTCTGACCTGGTGGGAGGTAAAAGTTGGGAAACTGAGTCACAAATCCACCCAATTTAGGCTTAATCAATTTTCCTATTTATAAATTTCAGACAGAATTATTGTCACGTATGGTGTCTGCACATACATTTATGCCAGATAAATAGGGCTCTACCAAATTCACGGCCATGAAAAACGCATCACGGACCGTGAAATCTGGTCTCCCCCCATGAAATCTGGTCTTTTGTGTGCTTTTACTCTATACTATACAGATTTCACAGGGGAGACGAGTGTTTCTCAAATTGGGGATCCTGACCCAAAAGGGAATTGCAGGGGGGAGTCGCAAGGTTATTTTCAGGGAGGGTCGCAATATTGCCACCCTTACTTCTGCTCTGCCTTCAGAGCTAGGCAGCTGGAGAGCAATGGCTGTTGGCCGGGCATCCAGCTCTGAAGGCAGTGCGCCACCAGCAACAGTGCAGAACAAAGAGTGGCAATACCATACCTTACTTACTTCTGTGCTGCTGCTGGCAGCAGCTCTGCCTTCAGAGTTGGGCAGCTGGAGAGCAGCAGCTGTTAGCCAGGATCCCAGCTCTGAAGGCAGCGCTGCCACCAGCAGCAGTGCAGAAGTAAGGGTAGCAATACCACAACCCCTTCTACAATAACCTTGCAACACCCGCCCCACACACACTCCTTTTTGGGTCAGGATCCCTACAATTACAACACTGAAATTTCAGATTTAAATAGCTGAAATCATGAAAATTATTATTTTTTAAAACCTTATGACTGTGAAATTGACCAAAAATGGACCATGAATTTGGTAGGGCCGTACAGATAAATAATAACAGCCCAAGTTACCACATTCCGGATGTGACATACCGCAGTACAATCCAGACTAGTTGGGGGGGGGGGGGCATCCCTGACCTTGGAAGAGGAAGGGGGGATCTCTGGGATGTTTGTCCCTCCTTTTTCTACTTTCAGTCCCTCTCTTGAAAAACATGTCCAGCTGAGATCCAGGAGACAAAAAGTCCATGTGGAAGAATGTTCCCTGCTCGGTTTTTTTGCCTGTTCAAATTTCCTTTGTTTTCCCTCTCTGCTTGATGACGCTGTTTACTGCTTAAATGCAAATTAAGGCAAGCACACATTCCTTCCTTTATTTAGGACAGACCTGACTTCTGCTTGGGCAGAGCTGTGGGGTTTGGAACATGTATTGTTAACATCAGAGAGGGGAGACTTGTAACTTCACATACAATGTTGCCACATGTATTTTACCAGGACAATACTGAGCAGCAAATTAAGAATTTTCAAATGATACCTTATAAGTCATACTTTGTACAGAGATTATTACAATAGCATGTAGGGTGTGAATACAGAGGTACATTCCATCTCAGTGTCTGAAGCATCTGCACACAGTTCAATCACTTCGTCAAAATCTAGACTTGCGAGAAAAAGCTTTCCAGACAAGATTTTTCTTTACCTTATCAAAACCCTCTTGACATGTCTTTGTCCATACTACTTTGTTAGGCTCAATCTTTTTACATAGATCTGTGATTGCAGACACAATGTCACTGAACCCACACACAAACCTTCTGTAATAGTCTGTCAGTCCTATAAAAAATTGGACGTGATTTTTAGTTTGGGATTGCAGACCAATTTACAGTGGCTTAAACTTTCATGGGATCCGGGGATATTTGACATCCACCTACCCAGTGTCCCAAATAAGAAATTCTGGCTGCCCCAATTTTACGCTTAGAGGGTTTTATGGTTAGGCCTGCCTTTTTGAGCTTTGACAGCGCAATTTCCAAATGTTTTTTGTGATCAGACCAAGTGTTGCTAAACACTGCAATGTCGCTGACATATGCCCTTGCAAAATTCTGCAAATCATTTCACACTTGGTTGACCAGCCTCTGAAAAGTGGCTCCTGCATTAATTAAACAAAATGGCAACATTTTGAACTCAGAGTCCCATATCAGTGAGGAAAGCAAATTTTTTCTGTGCTTCCTTATCTAAAGGAATTTGCCAGTAACCGCTAGTTAAATTCAAAGAGCTGAGATATTTAGTTTGCTCAAAATGTCCAGCATGTCATCAGTTCTAGGCCTAGGACATACATCTGGTACTGTGACAGGACTGAGTTTTCTATAATTAACACAAAGCTTTACAGTGTTCTCTTTCTTAAGGACTATGCCAACAGGTAATGCCCAATAGCTGTCAGACTCTTTAATTACTTCCAGGTCTAACATGTTTTGTATTTCTGAACAAATTTGTTCCTGCATCTTGCAAGTGGCACGATGCGGTTAGGTGGGAAGTGGTTGTGTCCTCCTGTAATGATTTTATGAGTCAGCAAGTGTATCCCCCATCATGTCTTTTAACTCTTTTCTGAATCTTTGTACGTACATCTCTACCCTGATATAACACTGTCCTCGGGAGCCAAATCTTATCGCGTTATAGGAGAAACCGCGTTATATCGAACTTGCTTTGATCCTCTGGAGTGCCCAGCCTCCCCCCCCCCGGCCCCCCGGAGCACTGCTTTACCGCATTATATCCAAATTCGTGTTATATTGGGTCGCGTTATATCGGGGTAGAGGTGTATTAAGTTACTGGTTCTCTGTCTGCCTCAGTGTTAGAGCTACTGCTTCAGGATATCTGGTGGCAAAATCCACCACCACCAATATATATTTCTTCCCCCTTTGGGTGGTATGTGGCAAAGGGCGCACACTGTCCATTGCTACCCTCAGAAATTCCTCTTGTACAACAGGCAACGAGTGTAGAGGAAGTTTCTCCGCATGTTCCAGTCAGAGCTTCTACTCTCATCTCTCTGTGATGCATTAAAAGCCAGTTTTTAGTATTGTACATAGTTAATTTTTGTTGTTGTTTTACTGTAGTTTTAGTAATAATTGTTTTAGGACTTTGGGACGCATTTTTTGATGGTTCCTCCTCTCCTCCTCCCCCCCCCCCCCCCCCCCCCC